CTGGCAGAGTGGAGCTTAGCAAGTTACATGATGATGAGCATTGCTCAAGCCTCCGTTCCCCTCTTCAGTAAACATGCCCACTTTAGGGGCTTCTGGCTCCTCCTCCCTCTGCCCCCAGCACAGGAAGTCCAGTCCCGACTCCCATCCCCGGAGCCAGCTGGCACCCTCTGAACCAGGAGAGAAGGACGTTCTTAGTCCTTGCTTAGGGCTGACCAAGCACACATTCCATGCCTGTTTCGTAAACTCTGCAATTAGCTTTCCTTCCAAACATGATCCCCTAAAACCCCGAGAAACAAAAATAATTCCACCGCATGCTTCTCTCCGAATCTTTAAAGTAAGCTCACATGTTTTTCCCAATAGACAACAACAAGCTATCGATATTTTATTAAAAGACTGAAGAACACATGATAATCACCTCAGAGGATTTCTTTCTTTTTTTTCCTTGGGGGCGGGGGGAGTAAGATGGACAATAAGGCTCTGAAAGAATTATAAGATTTTTCTTACCATATCAGATTTTTGCCTCATTTGGAACCTGAACTTGGGAATTTTGCTTTCAAATGAGTTCACTTGGGAAAAAGCAAACGCCATGGATAAGGGACTACTGTATGTAGAAAAAGTCTGTTCCGAGGAAAAAGTGGTGAATGAGAAATAGGGTTTGAGGCTGGTGTAAATAACTGAAAGGTCACAGCTGTCCAACCCCAAAATCAGAAAGCAAGACATTGGGGGTCATCAAACAGCTGCCAGGGAGCAAATTCAGGAAGATCCCTTTAAAAAGTGAGCGCCACTACTTCCCAGGCACTGCTCTGAGTGTTCTGCGTGTGCTATCCCATTACTCTCATAATGGATCATTACTTTAGTTCTCCTCCTACCCCTTTATAGCTGATAAAACCAAGGAATCAAAAGATTAGGTAAATGGTGCAGTCAGCATTTTGGGCTGGCGGTAGATTCTAACTCTTATCTTCAACTCCAGGGCTCTTGCTCTCACATCTGGACCCACGTCCAATCCACCAGGAAGGGTGCTCTGCAGGATTTTCAATAAAGACACCCAACCCTAGAAAGGAGCCCAGACAGAAAGGCAGACAGAGAAGGGTGCTCCGGCTCCGATGTCCTTCAGCACGGGCATGCGTTGAAGGGGAGGCCACTGCAGTGGCTCTGACTAACCCTTGCGGATCTCTGGGATGCAATTACCTCCTCCTACTCTCGATTCTAGACACCTTTCCATGAGAAGACTACACAGCTTCATCCTGTAAAGAATCTGAGGAAGACCTGCGTGCTAGGAATTCGGCTGCATAGTAGAATAGGAGTGCAGGAGTAAGGTTTGAAGGCCAGTTGCATGTGGACGAGGGGCTTTGAGGCTGGGATGAGTGCAGGAAGCTCTGCACTTTAGGTGGTCAAAGTTTAAACAAAACTTCTTTTATAGAATTAACAAACTAAGCAGAGAAATGAAGTCAGAATCAATATTGCCCAAATCTAACCACTCTGGGCGGCTGCTTCAGTTTGCCTTCTTTGTGTGCACTGACAATGAAACATTTACTAAATGAAGACTTCTGTGAACAAAACAAATGTCTTTTGTTTTGAAAGTTCATCTTCAGAGGGGTTCCCTACGCGACTCCCCACCACTTTGAATAAGCAACAGTTGTGAAAGTCTGTGATAAGTTCTGTGGCTCACACATCCCCCTCCAATCTAGAATCTGAAAGCAAGTACTGGAGACACAGAGGTAGAAGGGGGGTGGGGGGACAGTGCAAAACAGTGCTTTGAATCAGAGGGAGAGAGAGCAAGGGAGTTCAGGGAGGGAGGGAAATAGAGTGAGGGAGAACTAGAAACCACATAAAAGTTAAATTTGCAACTTGAACTACAAATCTAAAATTCCCCGTTTATTTAGCTACTCAATAGGATGCTTCAACTATCCTAAGGATGTGCCACAGTGTTGTTTTTACTTACAACATGACAATACCATTAAATCATGCACTTATTAATTCTATAAAATAATAAGCAAAAACAGTATAATAGATTGCAAGCTATGCTTAACATATCTTCTTCTAAGCTAACATTTATCAACCAAGCAATATGCTGTTTAAAGAGAAAGAAGGAAAATTTTAAAAGAATATAGTTCCTGCCCAATCACTTGTTAACACTGTAACCTTAGGAAAATAACTTATCTCTGAGACTCTTTCCTCACCTCATTATCTATTGAGATACTGTGAACAAGAGAGGCCCTAAAGAACTAAGAAAGCACACTGTATCTCCCTAGTAACTTATTTTTAGTAGTCTGAATGTTACTAAAAAGTCAACCTGAAAATCTACAATTATCCATGAAGATTTCTCAATATGGGGGGGCGGTATTTTCCCCAGAATTATATGAACACTTTGCATTTTTAGTTCACACTTACTTAGTACACAGAAGCCTAATGGTGCTGTTCAAATGCCTCTGCACAATCTCTATCTTAAAGCAACTCACAAATTATACCTCAAATCCTGATCCTGTAGGAGTTTTTAACCCTCATGGTGATGATGCTATTTTCTAAACATCAAAACTAAATGAAACAATTATATTTAAAGTACAAGAACAATTTTTAACAGGCTTAACTAGAAACTGAAAGCAGGAAAGAAACCAGCTAGGCATAAAACTGATAATTGCTAGGATTAATACTATTTCTAAATTCAACTTCTTCAAAAATAAACCACTTTATAATTTAGTTAGATTTCCGCCCAGAGAAAAGTGCTAATAAAAGCTCAGATAAGGGAAAGTAGGCTTGGACAATTGGTTTAAAGGGAATCCACCTAATCACAGGGCTTAATTTTTTATCTACAATTCAGCCCAAAGTCATCAGAATGACTTTTATATCAAAGAGCTTCAGTGAGTGACAAGAGCAAGGCTTGCTTTGTACTGTTTGAAAGTCATTATTCCATGAAATAACTTTAGCCTGCCAAGATGAGGAAGAATAACAGATGCTGTTTTTGCATTATCTGCATGATTTCGGCCAGCCATCCGTAGACATTTGGGTCAAATTTCTAGAAATTTGTTACTTGCATTTGACAGAGGAATCATGTATCCTAACCTCTCAGCTTGACCTTTCTCATTGGCATCCATTTATAATACTTTGCTTTCTGTGGCAATTATCCTTAAACTCATGCAAGTTCAGCATGTTTTTTTTGCCTGGGCTAAATAAGAATACTTGAAAAGTCAAAATTTTCATGCCGAACAAAAAAAAAAATTAAGAGAAAGTTTCTTTACATGCATTGTGCATTATTGTGTTCTAGTATTTTGAAGATATTCCAATCTTTTGCAACCTTAAAGACAGAGGAAAAGGTATCCGGTTTAGATGTGTTTAGTCATTGTTTTCTATCTTGTATGTGGATTTCTAATCAAAAGCTATTTGAGTAGAATAAAATGTCTTACTTTTTCATACTAATACAGAATTTTGTCCCTTAAAATAAATAAATGAAAAATAAAACAGCAATTACTTTATGAATACTATATTATAGCTTGCTCAAATAAAACTTCTTTGGGGTGCTGTTTCAGTGTAATAGCTCAGAAAATGAAATAGGTAAATTGTTTTATAATTCCTGAAATGAGTGATTTAAGAGTTCAGCAAAGGTTTTTCCATTTATCTTAATAGACTCAGAGTTTAGTAGATTATTATATTTGTTATATTTATTTTGTTACCATGTAATAATATGCAATGTTAATTGAGCACTTATAATGTACCAAATTTAGACAATGCTTCACATGTATCATCTCATTTAATCCTCAGATAACTACAGAAATTACTTGAATTCTTCCATCTCCACAAAAGGTAATAACAAATCACTTTTAGATGCCAAGGGAAGGAATACTGTAAAAGTCTTACATATTGAGCCAAGAAGAATTTTCTTTCAATCTTTAAAGTCCTATAAACTGAAAATTATAAGTAATAAGTTACAACAGATTATGCTTTTAATTAAAACTTCCCATATACTTTGAAAATTGGAAAAGTGATATTTTGTCACTTTGTTTATTAAAAACTAAAGTGAATAATGATTAGAGGAGTAAATTTAAAGAATAATTGATTTTTAAAATGACTGTGGAGAAACTTATACACAGTATAACAATGAAAACTTATACACAGTATAACAATGAAAAGGCACAAATCACTTTTAAGTACCGTGCTTGCATAAGATGATCACAAATAAATAGAATGTATGAGTGGGAAGACTAAGTTAAACACACTTTATTCTCTTTAAAATGTCTTAGTACTTCCCAGGCAATGGATATTTTCATAACAAAGCAAATAAATTAATAATTGATTAATGATTACAAAATGTATGTTATCTGAAAAAATTGTCCAAAATGCAAAATTAATCTTTATAGTATTAAGAAGTAATTATTTTTGTTGTGACAAAAATGCAGGATAAAAATTCATCAAATAGTATTTCTTTTCAATTTTGATTCTTACTCTCACCTTAGATAATTCACGTTAATATAAAACTATGTTATGTTATTTAGATATAGTTTTTAAATTAAATAAGAACCTCATCTACTAAACACAGATACCAGCACAAAACATTAAAAATGCTATATAATAATTCTCCTTACTTGGATCTTTCTGGGAAATAAATGGTGACAGCCACTTTGAAAATGCAATTTCCAAGTACACTTACCCTTAAGACTTTTTGTAGATTCTACCAAACCTTTTCAACCACATAAAACATTCAAATGATTACTTACAGAAACATACATGATTCTCTTAGTTATACGTAAATACAGTTTTATCAAACAATTAAGTTCTCTGGGCAAATTGTCTGTCTTGTCTACTAATTTGAAAAAAATCACTTCATTCAATTCTACAAATGTAAAATCTCTGTAACACCTTTAACAAATATAAAGGGATTCTACTTACACTTGCATGGAGTTTTCCTTTTTTTGACATCGCTAAAAATTTGTTGCTGAAAACTCCTCGTATTCCTACAATCCCCTGAGACACAGCAAATATTTCCAAAATACCTAGGATGACAGAAATCCCAAAATAAAACACAGACTCTTCTATGTATCATTGTGAAGAATTAAATTTCTACATAGATTTTCCCACTCTTTTTTACTGTGATTTAAAAAATAGTTATATTCTTGTTTTTGTGACATTATTTGCACAGAATACCATTCAAGTATTTATTTAAAATGATTAATTTCAAGATTCAAAATAGTGATTCTGCTGGATTAGTAATGCTTATTTTTCTCTGTAAATAATAAATAAATTTCAGTAAACAATATCTGACAATAGAATTTTTCAATTTCTAAAGAAGTTGAAAAGATTTCTTTCTCTGGTGTCTTTCAGAATAATTATTCATTTTTTATGTATAAAAGTACATAAAGTCTGTACTCAAGACTAGTATAAACCATTCAAAAGCCTGGAAAATAATTTATATTTAAATAAATCAAATCTATTCTCTAGTCATCATGATTATAAGGGTACAAATAAATATATACCCTATTCAATCACTTAGTAAGCAGCTCTTACAAAGACTGTACATGACAAGATACTGAATGCATTACGAATAGCTTGGGTTTATTGGCTCAAGGAAGTGTTTAATGGACTATGCTTCAAAACATCCTGCATTTTGAATCTTTCCTGGAAAATTTAATGAGCTATTTTATTACATTATTGTTTACATATTGTATTTCATGGTTAGCACTATGAAGTCAATATCCCTCTACAGTAACTTCAAAGTCCACATCCACTATATGAAGAGAATTACAGACCACAGCACAAAGTATGTTAAGAAGATAAAATTCTTATCTGCATATAATTGGAAAGCCTACCTCTTTTTCATGAACTCATATGTAATGTTACACAAACAGGAGGAAAGCATAATATTAATTAGTTGAAAACATGAAATTGTCTTTAACAAATAAAAGAAAGAAAAACACAGGAATATATTTGCTAGAGCTGAAAATGCACCTGTCCTGGAAAGGAACGAAGGGAGAACAGAGAGAGGGGAAGAGAACAATCCACCATTTCAATGAATCGTTTTCTGAGCATGTACGCTAATTAGTGTACCTCAACAGGACTGTGCTGAATAGAGAACTTCACTAGATTTCGGAAAATAGAAGCTGACTTCCCCTGCAGTATTTGAAGTATGCGTAAAATTATTCAATTTATTAAAAGACTATTGTAAATAGATATATGGCACATATTAACACATAAACATGAGTAACTTTATTGAGCACTTACATTGCACCAGTCTAAGTTAATACCTCTAATCGCAGCAAATAGTGCTAGTTATTTATTTTAACTTAGTTTCTTAAAAAAAAAAAAAAAAACTAGATCAGAAACTTCATGAGGAAAAAGGGAGAGTTGAACAAATATTTTGTTGTTGATGTTGTAAACATTTTTAGTTCAGAGTAAATAAACCACATCTCAGGGAAACTGCACCTACCAATTTATTAATGGATGTTTCTTTAGAATGAAAAGAAATCACCTAAAAGCTTTTAGAAAGTAACTACCTTTCTTTTAGAAACTGCTAAAGAAACTGCTGTCCCATAAATCCTTTCCTTCAGAATGTCTTCAAAGTGCTATTTGTAATAGATTTTACTATAAAAGTTATTTGTGTTACCCGCCCGGAGGTTTAGAAGCATTACCGTTTTATCAACTAGTAAGGAAGCATACAAAACACTTTGAAGTTCACTACATTAGCAATATGTAACATGCACTAATTGTATTAATAAAGCATGGCCAGAATACCTGACACAAAGTTCTATTTCTATCAGAATCACAGAACTGAGAACATCATTAATTATTTTTCATGTTTTGGAGATAGGTAAGGTGAGTGTGAATACTACATAAATGTGTGTGTTCAAAAATGAGGAAAGGAGAGCATGAGAAATCAAGTATGTGTGGATAGATTTAAGTGGGACAATATGAAGTTCGCACATATACCCCAGTTTATTCATGGCCCTATCTTGTTGTAGGTCTCTTTTTATTCCATTCTCTAGAAAATTACCTGGTTTTGTAAATGGAAGTCTGTTGTATATCAAGGAAAAAAATACACAGTAGCATTAAAGATAAAATTCCTACAAGTATATGTGTTTGTAGGCTAAATTTTAAGAGACTGACATAGCAGAGCTTTATAAATCCTTGGTTAATGGAAATACTACAAAATTTTGTCTAAGTAAGCTGTTGGTTTCTAACAACCTACATATTCTATTTTTTATTTGCTTACAGCGATCTATTCTTAGCCACAGTGGGAGACACGAAACTCAGGTTTGTTTATTCTTAATATGCGTTTTTAAGAAAGACCCATTTTGGAAGGGGGGGGGCAGCCTTGTAGCACAGCTGATTAAGCGGCTGCTTGCAATGCCAATACCCCATATCGGACTGCCAGTTCCAGCCACAGCTGCTCTGCTTCTCATCCAGCCTCCTGTCAATGCTCTGGGAAGGCAATGAATAATGGCCCAAGTGTTTGAGCCTCTGCCACCCAAGTGGGGGACCCAGATTGAGTTCTTGGTTCCGGCTTTGGCCTGGCGCAACTCTGGCTGTTGTGGCCATTTGTGAAGTGAACCAGCAGATGGAAGACCTTTCTCTGTCTCTCCCACTGTCTATAACTTTGCTTCTCAAGTAGATATTCAACAAATATACATATAATAAAAAGGAAAGTGGCTTTATCACAGATGGAGCTGCAGCGATTTAATTACACGCCACTGCCATCATACTGGAGGGGTTGGTGAGTGATCCTGAACACAAGTGTGGTGATGTTTAGCGCTGTGACAGGCGGTGGCTGAGTTGCAAAAATGGACTCATGCTTTTTATGAGCTGTGGGATGAAGCAATTCATGTAGGTGAAGGGAGGTTTCCGTGTGATCTCGCATTGGTGGTGGACATTACCAATATCAATACTAGCAACTGGTGAAGCGCACCTCACCAAATGGCAGTTCTTCTAAGTTGAGGATTTTGTATGGTCTTCAAAATATGTTATAAATACCCAAATGACCCTTGGTAGAAGAAAAGTTTTTTCCATACTGTTTTAAATAAAGCTGTTCAATTTGTAAAAAAAAAAAAAAAAAAAAAACTCTCCTTCTCTGATGCTCTGCCTTTCAAATAAAAATAAATAAATCTTTTTTTAAAAAAAAGAACCATTTTAACCCATTTAACTTATATCTCAACACAATGTACATTCTCCATGTATATATTATGTAGAATTAGCATTGTAATAAATTTTAAAGAGTTGGAATATGAAAAAATGTTAGAGTACTATCATTTTATTATGTACTGTGTGGTTTCTTTTCTTGTAACTATCAGTAAAAAATGATGTATGAGACTAATTTTTTTTAAACTTTAAGAAAATTACATTTTGCTGAAAGCTTTAAAATATACTTTTATACAATACTCTTCAATTTTATGAAGAACACACAGGAAAAAAGGTTATATTAAATGAAAAAAATATTTTTCACATAGGCAACTTTGGTATTGACCTTCCAAATATAATCGATATAATTATGAGCTAATATTGAGAACCATATTAAGTCCATATTTGCCAAAGTAATATCAGCAGGGATTTCACAAATGTCTTAATTTCTAAAATTTCAAAGCAAATTCTACAAAATTCACAATTCTACAAACTGCACATTCTCCCCAAGAGTTCACAAGTCTATTGGTTTTATTATGCCAAATCCAGTAACTCATTAAAAAATTCTAAATAATATTATAAACTCATGTACATAAGTCACACATAAATATCAGAAAACATCTTTTCTAACATAGATTTTTAAAAATTTTAATATTATCCTGACTCTTATCATTAGGAGTCAGGGACAATAAATTTGATGGAAACTTAAAGTTCCCTTTCTGGATGCTAAAATGGCATCTCTAACCAAGATTATGGAAGGTCAAGTTTGTCTTCCAGATCACAGATAGTCAATGACTGTTCAACTGGATTGCCTTCTTCCATCCTCTGACTACCTCTGCTTTCCCTTGTCAGGAGCCCCCCACGCCCACATCTCTGAACACATGTATAGTACCTTCCTTCTGTGGTGGTCCACTCCCGCTTAGGGGCATGAGGAAGGCTCAGTATAAATTAATTCACATTAAGATGCTAGTGACAGCAAGTTCTCTTACCTCAGGTGTTCACGTTTAAGGGCATCAAAAGAAGAGGGCATTGCCTGACAAAAGGAAGTATTCTCTTTTGATAGAATTTCAGGGCTGATATCAAATTTGAAGGAACAAGGCTTTCTTCCTTTCTTCGTGTCTTTCAGATGCTACACACCCTGTATAATGCACTTACTTGTGAGGATGGTTGTACATTGTGAAGCACATTGACTTCACTAAGAGAGCATAGTCCTCTGCAGGCTCTATTGTCCGTGGCTGATACAGACACACAGACATCTCCCTTTTCTTGGTGAATAAAATGTGGAAAAATACAGATATTCTAATTATTCAGAAGCTTTCAGCAACCCATCTGAAAATTCCCAAAGAAAAATAATGTAAAACTAAAGTCTCTCTACTTGCATCCACACACCAAGAAACGCACAATGCGGAGTCTTGAAATAGCCACTTCAGCCAGGATCACTGATTAATTTTGTAACAGAAAAATTCCACTTGAGCTATTCTACACAGCAGATACAGATTCAGATTTATTTAGGCTTGGGGGACTGTCTAATGGTTCTGCATGACACCAAAATTAATACTGAATTCAGGTTTTTTTTTAATTAGTAAAATTGAGGGTTTTGTCAACATATATGATTGGAATATTCATACTTTATGTGAAGACATAGCCTTGGACTTTTTTTTCCCTAAATTGACAATCACTTGATAGCTTTTCCTCCAATAGCTCAAGACCAATCAACAGAAGTATTGTAACAAAATGGAACTTCAAAGTATATGATTTCAAACAAGCCCTTTGTTTCTGTGCAATAGTTGGATCTTATCTCTCGTGTCTGCTTGCTTCCTCTTTCCCCAGAATTTCTTTCTAATAGGTATTTACTTGAAATGAGCTTGATTCTATTTCTTGTCTTCAAAATTTATAAAAACTTTTATGGAAGAAACTAAGAATACACAACTAGTACACTTAAACTATACAAATTATGTTTCAAAGCCTCAGCCAGAGTGTGCTTCTGATGGTGAATCTAGAAAATGTTCACAATTTACAAACTTATTTAATGTCAAATGATAACTGTCAGACATTTAACTAAGCTAACAGACAAATCTTACACAACCTGAGTTTAGAAGAACCTGTTAGGAAGGCGTTCATGGCACAGCTTTGACTTTCTGTCTGAAGTAGCTAGTTTATAACAAAAAGAACACAAGTTTTCTATCATTGCTAACTCACAGACAACAGACTCAGTTCTTGAGGTCAAACTGAGGTATCCTTTCTGATCCCTGACCCAGCTCCCTACTGTGAGACTTAGACAAATGTTTCCTCATGTACCCCTAACAGTCCGTGATGAACACAGGCAGTGTACATACATGTCAGGAAACCATGCAGTGCTGTTTTCTGAGGTAAATGACTAACTGTGCAGGTCACAGCCTTCTGTTCCTGCCGCATAGCTGCCGAGGGCAGTCACCCATCGGAAATTTCCGAATTACATGCCATCCTACCAAACATCAGACACTCCATAAATACTTCATCAATCAGTGATAGTAACATTTCAGGAAGTAGTTACTAGACACTCCGGACATCTTAAAGCAGAAAATCACTATGATTATTTGAATATTTGAGTTGTATCTCCCATGTGAACATCTCTAGAAGGCAACACCACCACCACCATCATCACCACCAACAACAACAATAGCTAGCCCAAAAGTACCAAAATACCACGCTCACTGCAAGTTACATAGCAGGAATAAATGACATAATGAGTGAACGAAAACAAGTCTTGTAAAAGACACAGATTAAACGCTGAAAGGCCGTTGTGTACCAGAATACATTAGGAAAGAGTTAAATGTTCATGTACACACTCTTCAGGAAACATCTCTGTGTCTTTGTAGATAGCTTTAAACTTAGAGTTCAAATGAGCTGTGCTATGGAAATAATAGACACCGAACAACATCTTCTTCAGCTGAATTTAATCTGTTCTCATTTTATTTCAGTTGTTTTTCCACGCCTTGCCAACTAGCAAGGCCTAAGCTGCAAAAATCCTTGTCTCTTGCCATGTCTTTGTGGAGAGAGGATGGGTATCTGGGGGTGAAGCTTGCTTGCACGCCCAGAGCCACCGCAGACAAAGTCTTTCAGCCTCCACAACTCCAATCTGTGCTTGCAGCCTGCTAATTCGGGGTCTTCCCTTGGGCACACGTAAGTCATCCTCCCTTAGTGCTGGTTTCCCGGGTAAACCAGAGCGCAGCAAAGTCTGTAAGGGAGGAGGGACGATTGCTCAAAGTGAGACCAAGTTCCGTGGGACAAAGCGAGGAAGTATGAAAGGTGCCCCGAAATCTTAGAAAATCCTTCTTTCTCCAGCAGGCTCTGCACCGTCGACGGTGGGAAACTGCTTGATAACAGTGAAATGAACTCTAAAGCACTGGAAGCGGCTACTCCAAGGATGCGTGTGGGAGGCTGGGGGAGGGCACGGGGGCGCTCTCTCGGTTTGGGCGATCCAGGCCACCGCTGCGCTCAGCCGGCTGGAGCCGCGACAGCCAGGAAACCCGGACCCGCTCGGTGACCAACGCGAAACGCCGCGCCCGGCAGCCAGCTCACCGACGTGCGCACCTCCGAACCGGTTCCAGAGGCCGCTGCCAGACTGTCAGCCCAGCGCTGGTGCCCACGCACCACCCATTCTAGGGTAAAAAGGAGTCTGATGGCCCGTGGGGTGGAGCAAGTCAGGTACACCTGGGAGCCAGCAGGCCGACTCTCCCGGGCCATGCAGCCGGTGCGCAGCTGTCTCTCCCGCTAGGTTTCCGCCCTACCTGGCTATCTCAGGGGTCCGCGCTGTGGCTTTTTGCAGTGGACTAACTCCGGCTGGAAGAGCGATCTGTTCCTACTGAGGAAGAGCCCTAGACAGACCGCCGCAGGGCCCCACGCAGCCCCACTGTCACCTGTCCCCTCCTCTGGCGAAAGTGGTAAGCGAACAGGAGGAGCGGCTGCAGTGGGGGAAACGCAGATGGAATACAAGGGAAGAGATGAGAAAGGAGGAAGCCAGCACTAATGACGGGATCAGAAAGGAAAGCTAAAACTTGTTTTGTTTTCTAAATCCCACACAATTTGTATCCCTACCAAATTGGACTTAGTCCATGTTTCCTTTGGAATAAAGGGCTTTTCCCTAGTTATCCTCACTGGCCACTGTCCTATCACGGTGTTGCTCTGGTCTCAAGGCACACAACGCAATGTAGCTCTCCCCTCAGGTACAGATATACTCCTTGTATCTGTGTATACGGTGTGCACATGCACACCGTACACACGTGTGCACACAATATACCTAGCAGATTTACATATATTCACATACATAGCCAGTATTAATGGGGGGGGAGTGTTATCGCAGCTGTTGGAGGGGGGCAGTACTTAAAATTTCATTCTTCTAGAAAGAAGCACAACTTTAGCTCCAGGGAGGCAGAAGGGATGCACTTTGATGCCTAATGGAAAGTGCCAGTCTAGTGCATAAGCAGAAGGTAAACAGAAATTGTAGCAGGCGAAAGAGAGAGCTTTCTGGTTCTTCTGGCATGGCTGGAGGCTCGTCTTTGGCGCCAGGGCATACTGCCTGGGCACCAGCCTCTGAGTGATCTGCGCCTCGGCCATTCCTCCTGCCCACGAAAGGGGTGCGTGTGTACGCGCCGCGCCGAAGAGATGCCAGTCTTCCCCGTCCGCCCGCCCACCCGCCCGGCGGCTTCCCGGACCAGCAGGGTCCCAGAAGGGACCGTAGGGGCGCAAGCAACTTACTTAACATATTGGCTTCGTGGGAGCCATTGACTTTGCCATCCGGGTAGATCTGCAGATGGAAACCGATGCCTACTCTGCAGTACAGGCTGCCGGTCCGGCGCCCCGAGGGGCTCCACTGAAAACTGCTCTGCTCCAAGCCGCTGCCTTGGCTGCCCAGAGAAGCCGCGGGGGCGGACGAGGCAGAGGAAGACGAGGTGCTACCGGCGCTCCGGCTGCTGCTGGAGCCTCCCAGGTTCCTGTCGGCGGCAGCGGGTCCGGGTTGCCCTTTGGGGGCGAGGCGCTTCTCCCCGTGAGCCCAGGCGCTGAAGATCAGGTGGCTGAAGAAGAGGAGGAGGAGGAAGGACAAGCTCATTCTTCCAGCCGCGGGGGTCCTAAGTGCATCTTGTAGGGCTGCTTCTGGGCTCCGTAGCCCCCGCGCGGCTGCGTGCCTCTGGCGCTGCCCCCCTCGCCGCACCGGGTGGACATAGCCCCAGGGGAAGAGAGAGGGAGAAGGGGAGAGAGCCGGAGGCCACTCGAGCGGATCTCGGCGCTGGCACCGGGATATTTATAACGCCAGTGATCTCACTGCTCGGTGCACGCCTGCGAAGCTTCCCCTCACCCGCCGCTTTGTGTACTCACTGGCCGGTGCGGGGAGGGAGCCTAGCCGTCTCGGGGGCGGGGGGTGTGAAGGAGGGAGGAGATGGGAGAGAGAGAGAGTGTGGGAGGAGAGGCCGGGCTGACGGGAGCTGCACCCCGGACGCTGGGTGCGCCCACACCACGGCCACGCACCCCAGCAGTTCTCACGCGCCGCGCGCTGCCCCCGCCCCCGCCAGGGCCGGCGTCGCGCGGACTTGCGCTCTGCGCGCCGCGGAGGCTGCAACGTGGAAATGGGTTCCCCACCTGGCCCACCTCGACGGCACACCTGCGGCCTGGCGGATCACTCCCACCGGCCCCGGCCCTGATTGCCAGGTTCTCCTCCTCCGTTTGCTCGGCAGACCCTCAACCAGCTGAATCCCCACCCACTCTGGGAATCCTTGCGAGCGCGCATCCCGTCTGGAGACCCCCAGCGCTCGCAGCGCCGTCGGCGGGAGCCACGCGGGGATTAGCTGCCCAACTTGGGAAGGCTTTGGTGTGATGCGGTTGGGGCGAAAGGCTGGTTTCAGCTAAGGAATGGGTTTATCCAGCCTTCTGAAAGCCACCCTGAGTCGTCCTGCCAACGCAACTCTCGGTCGCGCTGAACGTTTCTCCCGGTTTGATTTCCTTCTGGCGAGTTCTCAGGGTGTGTTGCGGCCGCCAGACACCCACGCTCGGACCCAGGCAAGAGTGGCTGGGGCCGGGCACCAGCACATGTGACTGACTGCCCAGTTGTCCTCTCTCGCCCCAGGATTCTCTCAGCAGGAAGGATTAGCTAACGGCTCGCTTCAGCTTACTCGGAGCTGCCGGAGCTGCCGTGGCTGAAGGTCCGACCCTAATGAATGATTAATGGCGCGCCCGCTGGATTTCAACCTCAGGAAATCTGAGAAGGAGAATTTCTCTGCACAATGCGCCGACGGTTATTTATCTGAGAAATATACCTGACGTGCATTCTTGGAATACTTCTGTCTGAAAGCATAGTGCAAGCTTTAAACTAAGCCCTGATATATTATTCATTGGTCATTTTAATGAAAAGCCAGTGATACTGACCCATAAGGTCAATTCACATAAGCCAAGCTGGATGCCAAGATAGGGGCCTTATCCATTATTGAATACCCATGTCAGGTTCCTATCTCAATAATGAAAAGCATATTAAAAGCAGGTAGATTTTTCAGGATTGGAAGTCTTCCACCGACAGAGTACTTAAGATCAAGGTAGCGGTAAAACAGAAAGTCACTGGAGCAGTGCAGTGAAGCCGCTATGGGAGAGCTATTGTCCAGGGCTGACCACTCTGATGCTCTAAGCTGTGGCTTCGGGTTTAACTGAAGTGGGGCGGCAGGTGTATACAAGGGAACCCTACACAGGGACATTGCGAACAGTCACAGGGTCCCTCAGGCCAGTCCACTCGGCTGACGAAGTCACCTGTTTCTGGAGTCAGTGGTTGTAGAGTGCTGAACTTGGGCACAGGATGTTGAACTTATGCCTTCCCTAGGTGATGCCCTGTGTGTGCAACAAAGCTCTGGGGATTTCAGGCACGCGAACGCTGCTGGATGCAGTCTACTGCCTGAGCTGAAAGGGACAAAGATTTTCCAAAATGAATCCAAAGCTTGTTTCTCCCCCTCTGCCTTCCAAGAAGTCAGAATGAGTCTCGCTGCAGAGGCATGATCAACACCTTCTCTACAGCTCTCTCTGCCTCCAGAGGCTGGGAGGGATCTGGGGCCCAGTTTTCAGAGCTGAGGAATCAGCTGCTTGTCTCCTCTCCTTTCCCCCAGTTTCTGGAGTCCCCCACCCCGACCCCGCAGTGAAACAATCGTTTTTGTGTTCCTCTGGTGAGCTTGAGATCACACCCCTGTATAGGGAATGACCCAGGAAGGCCAAGACAGCTGCTTGGGCTCTATTCTACCTCAGCCTAGAGCATGGCAAAATGCACTCTTCTTGAATTAAGGGCCCAGGAGATGGGAGGGGTTTTCACTAGCAGTAGACAAGTGGCCAGCATTGTGGACAATGATTAAGTTTGGCAAACCAAATCTCAACTTTCAACTCTGTTCTGTACTAACGGGAGGGGGAGTGGATTGCATGTATAGGAAGGCACACTTAGAACAGAATCCTCACTGGTGAGTATAAACAAACAGGGTGGATGCCAATAAACTTTTACAGTTTATCACAAGAGGCTTGAACTCATGTTGGAATCATTTAGAAAGACCTACGCACATCTGAACAGTGAGCTGGGAAGCCAGCAGCATGCTGGTTCCAAGAACCCAGCTGCCAGGTCCTCTCCCTTGGCAGCACAAAGAGAGGAACAGGTCACCCTGCAGTCCCTGCTGCCCGACCCCGCCTGCATCTTGCCTCACTTGTGAGCGGCGGGTCTCCACCACCTCGCTGGTGTTCATGGCAAATGTGTGGCCTGAAAAAAAAAATCTCATGGCACTCCCTCGGTTACCCCAGGTTCCACTCCCTAGAGAGCAGGAGCCTATACCATATTGTTTCTGATGACTTTTGGAAACACAAACACCCAAAGCCCCCTGCTGGGGACATTCAAGCCCTCCACTCACAAGCTGAAGCATCTGGGGGTGGGGGTCCCCAGGGCGGTGAATGGACCACGCATCCACAGCTGGTGCGCAGTGTGGTTCCCTGATGTCCACTCTCTGCCAACCCCAGGGGCAAGGCCAGGGAAAAAGTGTGAATGGTCTCGAAGACTACTCATTGCTGCCTGCCAGGGGACAGAAGGATCCAAGAAGTTGACAGCTCCACCAGTCAGGAGGCGCCAGGCTCTAAACGTATTTATGCACACGCAGGTGCTTTGTTCAGCCCCTTGGACTCACCTTCTGCAGCCCCGACACCTAGGCCTCACAGTCAGGTTCATCTTTCCGACACCCCAGCCTCAGAGCTTCCTTTCGGGCCTCCCCTAGTTTTGTGCAGAGGAGAACTGGACGTGCATTTTCCCTAACCAGTCACTAAAAGGAAGTTACGCTAACCTGCATCCTCAACCTGCAACCCAAAAGTCAAGGTAAATGTCAAGAAGTCCACGTCTAAGATTCCGCAAGTGAAGGACAGCTCACTACAGCCTTCCTCTGGTTGTAAACCGGCGCCAGGCCTCCCACAGCCCACAGCCTACAGTGCTGGAAGGGAGGGTAGGGCAACAGATAGTAGGATTGGTTGAGCAACCAAGTGCTGGGAAGCCAGAGTCCTGGGAGAGTCTCAACCCACGACCCAGGCTGCCCTCAGGGAGCAGGCCTTCTCAGAGGTTGGCCTGTTCTGAGGTTTACTACCCTGCACCACTGGAAAGTAAGGCCTACTTTTCTTTCTTTTATTCCAGCAGACAAAAACCCAGAGGTTTTCAGAATGTTTTTCTGGGACAACTGCTTAAAACCTGGCCCCCAAAGGACTTTGTGGATCCCCACTGCCTTTCTGCATTCTGAGAAGCTACATGCAGATAAGAGTATGAACCACGTATTGCTAACCAGGTTGCTAGTGATCCCACACTGATTGCTAATCTCATAAAAATTTTAACAGGGACTCTTACACAATGAACGTTTGTGTCATCCCAAGATTCCTGTGTTGACAGCCTAGTCATCAATGTGATCGTATTTGGAGATGAGGCTGTGGGAACTAATGAGATCATGAGGTGGAGGCCTTACCAAGGAGTAAGTGTCCTTCAAAGAGACAGGAAAGACCTTTCTTTCCCCACCCGCACCCCGTGCCCCACGAGAGGAACTCAGAAACAGGGCCCTCTCTGAACGCAGCCGTGCTGGCGTCTCGCTCTTGCTCCCCAGCGTCCAGAACCACTAGGACTGCGTATCTGTTGTTTAAGCCACCGTCCTGTGGTATTCTCGGCACAGTAGCCCCAAGAAGGAAGCACAATTGCATTGTGGGAGGAGTCAAGAGCTGACCTGTTGGGGCCCTCAGTCCATGCTCTTGCCAAGACCCTCTATCTCCTCCGGGCCTGGCTTCTCACCAGCAAGTTGGCAGCAACCGTAGCAGCGAATAGCCTGTGGCTAAAGGAGCAGGCTGAGCAGGTTGAGGAGGCCGGGAGGGGCCGGCTGTGTGAGAAGGAAACAGACTAGGAGGGGCAGAAGAGTGCACAGGCGGAGAAAGGATGGCACAGTCAGAGACTGCAGCTCCCCAGCTTAAACCTCTTCCCTCTTCGCCACGGGCCACTGCTTCCTTCTGAGGAGGGGGCTGTGTGGAAGTGGCCAACTGGTCAGCAGCAGCTGGGCTCCTCCACACCATGCAGTCAGAAAATAAAGCAGTCTTACTCTGCTTCCAGACAAACAGAGAATGGGCTTTTGTGACCTGAATTGACTCAATGAAATTGGTTATTTTTTCCCCATCCAGCTTGACTCCTGTGCCTTCCAGCTAACCTGCTGGCTATTTTTGGGTTAGCTTCCGGTGCATCTGTGCACTGCATCCCAAAGCACTACAGGCCCCCAGGTATCTCAGTACCCAAAATCTAACTGCAAGAAAGTAACTACTCTGAAAGTACTAGGTGGCCGGTCATAGGGGACAGAGGTCTCTGTGCTTGTTATACCTGAGTGCAAAATTCATGATTGCAGAGCCTACTGCTTGCCCTCCCCTCAAATAGAGCCTACTCTGTCCTTTATAACAGGTTTTTGTTACTGTCACACTCTGTATCTAATAATGTCAAAGAGGATATTCTGAGCATATCTGGAGGAGTGCAGCACTTCCAGGTCCAATTTCCTATCAGAAGTGCATGGAGTGGGAGATAAAAGATTTTTCTCATCTTTGAGGAAATAAAAAAGATGATGAATTAGAAGCGCTGCTATCAGGATAGTTCTAGCACTCTGGGTGCTTGGTTTGTATCCAGAGAGACAGGCCGTAAGCAGATGGGCACTCATTCAAGAAAATCGGGGGCTGAGGAACGGGAGAAAGCAGGCACGATGTCTTCTTCGAGGACATCTTTTTGTGCCAAATGGGAAAAGGCTGGGAGAGAACAGAAGTGAAAACAAGTCTGGTACCAGCTAGAAACAGACAGGAAGCTGCTGAAGCC